AGCGGGCAAGGCATCTGCATCCAGCTTCTGGAGGACTCTTGGCCCTCACGGGCATTCCAGGAGGCTGCAGCTGGGAGGTGTTGGCTCCCACTCCCAAAAAAGAGCCCGGAGATGCCCTTCAGCCCACCCACAGAGGGGCTGTGTGGCTGCAGGTCTTGTCCGTGCGCAGGAGAGAGATCCTTCCAGGACTCCCCATCTTTCTCCCCTCCTCAGGAGGTGGCAGCCTCTTTCACCCAGCACACAAAAAGCCTCACTCCTCTCCCTTGGTTTTAGGAACCAACAATTTGATTTACACCAAAAGCTATGGCTCAGATGGAAACTTTGTGTATGAGGGGGAAAAGCTGCTCCCTGTGCTCCAGAGCCTGGCGTAGAGCTCGTCGGAGTCTGTGAGAGTGGAAAGGGTTCCTCGGTACAACCAAGCAGCCTCTGTCCTCCTCTGTTGCAGACACTGACTTTCACATGCGACGTGCGTGAGAAGCACAGCCAGACCATCCTCCTGTCCAACCCGAGCAACGAGGCCTGGACCGTCCAACCTGTTATTGAGGGGAAACACTGGAAAGGGCCTGAATTTTTTCATCTGGAGGCCAATCAACAAAACAAGCCCTACAAGATCACTTACAGCCCCCTAACCATGAGCTCTGAGAACAAAAAGCATCAGGTACGTGAGCTGGGCCTCCCTCATAGGGGGATCCTCGTAGTTCACCCTGTTTGGGGCAGGAGGTTGGACAAGATGACTGTCAGAGGTCCCCTCCAAGCAGAAATTGTGCTGTGTTGGAAGCTGGGTTTCTTGGTGGCTAGAGGCCAGGTGCAAGGAAAGTTCAGGTGGGAAGTCTGGACTGACCACTAAACGTATTGGAGCAGCTAACCTAAAAATCAGGCAGTCTGAAGCTCCAGGAAATTGAGTTTGTTCTCTGCAGCTCCTGGTCCCTGCTCATGCAGCCCAGGGGGGCTCGGAGACCCCCGTGCTCAGTCCTGTGGGCTGCAGGGGCTCCTCAAGCCCCGGGCATGACCTGCTGGGTCCTTTTGCAGCCTGTGGGGAACAAGAGGGGCGAAGCTGCCCTCCCATTTCTCAGCATCCCCCTCACCATGAGCAGTCCAGTGGGAAACGACAGAGAGATCTCTCTTGACATCACCTTCGGCAATGCAAGAGCTTCAGAAAGAGCCCTTCTCGCAGGTCTCAGACTGGGCAGGTGGGGGTGACCAGCCCCTATGTCTTCACGGGCAGTATTTTCGGAGACAGACCAGGGACAAGCTCTGAAATCAAGAGGGTCAGTTCAGAAGGGCTCAGGGGTGCTGGAGCTGCTGGAGTCCTTGTCCTGCTTCAGCTAACCTTACACCACACCAGAACTTAGGCCAGAGTGGAGGCCAGAAGCTTCTGGGCTCTGTCTCCAGGGTGCTCAGAAGATCTGTGCCCTGTGGGGCTGCATATGCTCAGTATCTCTTTAATGTACAGCCCTGCAGGAAGAGTCCTGCAGGTTTTGGCTGCTCTGGAGGCAGAGGAGATGCCACAGGGCAGGTGGCTGTGACCCATTGGGACCCAAAATGAGTACTGGATATGAACTTTTCATGGTCCACCCTGGCTGGTGGGACCCTGCCACATTAGCTACGGGCTGCTCTCTTGGCAAAAACGTTTGGGTTAATCCCAGCACTGCCAGGGCAGCCACCCCCGTACCGCGGCTCTCCTTGCATGAGCGCAGGGCTGGCAGCTGATGTGCCCGGGCTAGTGAGGCCAGTAAAGGGGCGTTGGAATGGTCAAACCAGCTCTGCTGCAGGGCCGGGGTTTCCTCGCTTTGCTCAGCCACGCTGCCTCTGCGTCCTGTAGCTGTGCCCGCCTGAGCAGGTACAACATTGCCATCTCCACCTGCGCAGTCACGGCTCTGCCAGCTGGACTTGCTCGAAGCTGCTCAGGTGACAGCCTGACATGAGACAGTCTAGTCTGGGTGTGCTTGAAAGCCAGTAATCAGTCTGGTCAGAGAGCAGGAGAGCTCACTTATCCTATTTCTTGTCTCTAGGGCTCCATCTTCTTCCCACTGCCAGATGGGACAGGCTTGTACTACCTCCTGCAAGGGACTGCTGAGGCCCCAAAGTGTTCAGGGACCATTTTCCGGCAGGTACCGTGTAGGACTTCCTACACCGAGGTCATCCCCGTCTCCAACTGGCTGAACAGACCACAGAGGTGAGTCCAGCCCAGGAAGTCTCATCCCATCAGCAATCCCTGCAGCAGCATGAGGAAGGGCTTCCTGCTGCCTGAAAGCTTCTTCCTGTGAGCTTTTCACTCTCCTTGGCTGTTTTTGGCCATAAGTGTCTGGAATTGCATTACCCACGTTCTGCCCATGCAGACCCAACCTGGAGGGCTTTCCTCCATGGGGGGTGAGACCTGTCTCCCTCTGCTTGAGGCACTGAGGATGAGAGGGGTTGTGTTGTACCCCCCCACGATGGGTATCCTATGGGAGTCCTTCTTGTTGACCTTCACTGCATCCTTCTCACCCACAGGTTCCTCGTGGTGGTGGACATACTCAAACCAGAAAACCTGGAAAGCAGTTCTGTGCTGCAGGGGCTGGAATACATTGACGTGCCAGGCTCTGCCAAGAAGGACTACAAGCTCACGTTCCTCTCCTACAAGGAAGGAGTCTTTAACACAATGGTAAGGGTGGACACCGGGCTGTGGGGCCCTTCAAGGAGCCGTTGGCTCACTGAGAAGCTACACGCTTGTTTTCATACCTCCACGTGCCCACTGGTGGGATTGTAGGTGTCGTAGGTGGGTACTGAACAGCAGACATCTCGCCACATCCCCCACTCGCGTGTAAGTCTCTGTGGGGGTCCCACTGGGGGCTGCGAAACACAGGTGGCTCAGGACATCGGGGAGAGTATCAAGTAGAAATACCACACATGCTTTTCCCGGTCTCGCACTCTTCCTCGATGGCTGCTTACAGCCGTTCTTGGAGGTAGGGTGCTGAGCCTGCGGGGGATCTTCGAGCTGGCTTAGCACAGGCAGTATATTTTTATGTGCAGAATGACCAGCGCTTCCCTCTTTCTCTGATTCAGGTGACTTTCCTCAACAAGGTGACCGAGGAGTACTTGTTCTACATGGTGACTTTCAAGGCCACCGCTTCGGGACCCATCAGCACTGTCGAAATGAGCACCGCTGTTCGGCAGAGAGCGTCTTCCACCGTCAAGGTGGACAACCCTCTGCCTGTGCCGGTGACATTTGCTGTAGATTGCAAAGTGCCTGATGTCAGTGTTCCCCCACATTTCACTGTTCCTGCGCAGTCAGAGGTAGGTGCAAAGCTCATCCAGTGTGCGCTCCTCTCCCTGCAGCCTTTCTGGGAGTGGATGATCTTGAAGGGTGATGCCCTGCACGAACCATCTGGGGCTTCTTTCCAAGGGTGACAGCTCCCACCTGCTGATAATCCAGAGGGGAAGCAGTGTGTGGGAATTGCCCTGTGCTGGTGGAGTCTGCCATGCTACCCCCTTGTGACATGTCCCCATCAGGGCTCACGTGGCAGGTCCTCGTGCCACATGCTCCTTATTTAGTGTGGGTATTTTCAGTTTAGAGTGGCTGCAGGGCATGCCTCACCCCACTGGCAGGGTGTTTGCTGCCTGCATTGATAGGAGCTGTTGTGTGCCCTGGGGAAGTACGAGGACATTTTAGGGTGAGAAGCTTCTGGGGTAGAGCTGGAGCTCTCAGCTGTTGGGGACGGTCCCCTAAGTGAAGTGTCCTCCAGATGCAGCAAGGCTCTGCCCCAGAGCGAGGGAGGGTGCTGGGTTGCCTTCCAGCACTGTGTGAGCACACCAGAAACCGATTTCCCCTGTCCCACGCCCTGCTTTCCCTGTCTCTGCCTGACCCAGTGGGTTTTCCCTTCGTTCCTCCTAGGCTGACCTTGTCTTTGAGTACCAGCCCATGAAAATGGGTGACAGCACCGGGCGCCTGGTGCTCCAGAGCAGCGACTTGGGCTCTTTCTACTATGACCTGCACCTGAAAGCCACCACGAATAGGCCAGAGAAGCCCCTCTACTTCTGCACCACACTGGGCTCTAGTCAAACCATCACCACCAAAATCATGAATTACGCCCGACAGAAGACAGACTACCTCCTCCAGGTGAGGCCAGCCTGCCCTGGGCTCTTGCTGGGAGGCAGCTCATCCGGCCAGCGTCAACCCTCTCCGTTGAGGGATCCTGCCCCTCTAGCTTGGCCTGGCATCGCCAGGGTGGCCATGTGAGCCTGGGGGTCTTCCCACCAACGCTGGGCTTGTCCCCAGCTGGACTGTCCTCAGCCCTGCCCTTGTTGAAGCTGCTTTTGCAGGTTCCATGGTGCCTGGACTCCCTACCTTAACCCATTGCCAGAGCTGGGGTTTCTCATGGGGTTTGGGGGCAGGGTTGTCCCTGCTCAAGCACGTTTGGCCATCCATCATGGGCACTCACCCAGGGTATAGCACAGGGGGGAAAAGGTGCAGTGACAGGCAAGGGATAGGGCCTCTGGCCCACATGATGGTGGGGACCTTTGGTTTCTTCCTGAGGTGCTGGCTCTATTTTTCTGACCTGCTCCCACCATGGTCTCTTCTCTCCCCCGTGCAGACCAACTGCGCTGACTTCCAGGTGGAAAAAACCATCAGCGTGGCTCCCGCCAGCCCGGGGGGCTCGGAGGTGAGCCTGGAGGTGACCTACGAGCCCTGCCAGCTGGGCGAAGCCAGGGCCACGCTGCAGCTCTCCTCCCCGCTTGGGGGGGAGTACAGCATCCCCCTCTTCTCCCTGGCCCTCCCCCCCAAACCCCAGGGCCCCTTCCTCATCAAGGCCGGCGCCACCACCTCCATCCCCTTCAAAAACATCTTCCTGCAGCCCACGGCCTTCCAGTACACGCTGGAGCACCCGGCCTTCGCCGTCAAGGCCCCCGAGAGCTTGCGCTCCAAGAAAACCACCTTCATCGCCGTCTCCTTCGAGGGCGGCCCGGCCCCCGTCACCACCAAGATGGTGGTCTCCTGCCCCGGGGGGGCCGGGGTCTCCTGGGTCTACTACCTCAAGGGCCTCCCTGCTCACAAGTGACCTGTGCCACCCCCACCCCGGGGGGGGTGTGTGTGTTGGGGGAGCGTTAATTAACTGTGGCAATTAACTCCGTAACGGTCGGTTTGGAATAAACCCAGCTGAGGTGGCAGCGGGCGGCCTCCGCGTCGCCAGGGGGCGCTGTGGAGGGTGGTGGAGGCGGAAGGGGGTGGTCACGTGGGCGGGCCGCGGGAAGGGGGGGTGTGTGTCACGTGGGCGAACCG